TCCAATTCCATGTTTGCTTTTACCAGCCAATCACTTACACACTCAGAGGGCTATTGGGTGCTTCATAAAATAAGCCAGACACGAGACCTTCTACAATTTTTTTTTTAAGGAACACTCAAGGACATAGCTATTCAAAGGCTACAAAGAATTGCTTTGGGGCTGAGGAGGTGGTTCAGTCCGTAAAGTGCTTGCCGAGCAAGTGCAGGACCTGAGCTTTATCCTTGGGACTTGTGTAAAAAGCTGGGCACCGAGGGGTATGTTTGTAAATCCAGTTCCAGGAAGGCAGAGACAGGTGGATCCCCAGGGCTCATTGGTTAGCCAGCTTAGCTGAGGAAGCAAGGCCAAGGTCACAGTGAGAAACCCTGTCTCAAAACAGAAGCTCCAAGAAATGATACTCCTTGCTGTCCTCTGGCACACATGCATATATGCACACATTAAAGAAAGGAATTTTCACAAAGAATTGTAGAAGTACACAGTTACAGTGACATGGCAAGAGTCTACCTCAGCATTTTATAGTAGCACTTATCTATTTGGGGAATAATGGCTTTGGAAAGCTGAGAAGACAAAGTCACAGACTGGGAGAAAACATTTGCAAAGGACATGTTGGCAAAGGGTTATTAGTTATCTAGCCTCTAAAAAAATTGCCTATAACTCACCAACAAAAAAGAACAACTTGGCCAAAGTCCTGAACAGGTACACGGCCAAGGAAGACGTGCAGATAGAAACCAAGCTTAGGATAACATGCGCCACATCCTATCACTGGGAAATTGTAAATCAGGACGGAAATGTGATTCTACAAGGGGCTTCTCAGAGCAGCCCAAATGCAAAATACTGGAGACATGAAGTGCTGGTAAGGATGAGGAGCGTACCAAGTGCCACTCCCTGCTGAGGTCACAGCAAAGGGAGAGAAATACTGAGACAGCACAGAAGTCCTCATAAAACTAAACACACTCTCACTGTACACCCATCGGACACCCAGGGACAGTTCTTGATGTTTGCCCAAATAGCTTAAAACTTGATTCCAGGGGCTGGAGAGATGCCCAGTGATTTAGAGAGCTTGCTGATGTTCTGTTTCCAGCACTCTAGTCACCCGCAGCTCCAGCTTGAGGGGATCCAGTGCCCTCTTCTGGCACAGGCACCCAAAGCTTGCACACATATAGACACATGAACAATAAATTCAGGGGCTGGAGAAGTGGCTCAGCAGTTAAGAGCACTTGCTGCTCTTGCAGAAGACTGGACTCAGTTGCCAGCACCCACATGGTAGCTCACAACCATCAGTAACTCCAGCTGCAGGGGATCTGATGCCCGCTTTTGGCTTCCACAGGCACCAGGTACACAGGTGATGCATGTACACATATGCAGGGAAAACAGTCATACACATAAAAAAATAAGTCTTTAAAATGAAAACTAGGTAAATAAAATAAGTTTAAAATTCAAAACTTAATTCCACACGAACACCTACTTAGGGACATTTATAATACCTTTATTGGTAAATTGGTAATTGCCATAACTTGGAGACAACCAGGCTGACCTTTAGCAAGTGAATGAACAAACCAACTGTGCTACATCCATAAGGATTATTACTCAGCACCTAAAAGACATGAGTTGTAAAGGCATGGAGGAATCGAGGCCAAGCTGAAAAGGCTGTGTACAGTATGTCAAGCCTATGACACTCCATAAAGGGCAAAATCGCCATGAAAGGAAAAAAATAATGAGTGACTGGTATGGCTGAGAGGAAGGAAGAGGTAAAGGGTCAAAGAACAGAAGGTGGTTAGGGCTGCAGAACTATTCTCTATAATGTCATAATTGGGGACACGGTATTATGCACGTGTCAAAACCTATACAGTGTATATCAGGGGTGCATCCCAATGTCAACGATGGTCTTTGTGTGACAATGTAAGCTTATTATTGTGATACCTGACCTAAGTAAAGCAGACTAAGTTGCCCAATTATTTTTATGATATTAAAGTCTCCTTAATAAGTTAGACTTATGTGCAGGATTTTGAAGACTGCCTTTTGAACCAGAATGTGGAAAAAGTTTTGCACATGTTTTCCTTGTGAATATAGTAAAAGATGATCCTGGGGAGTGTGGGAGGCTGGCTGGTGTTTTGGTAAAGGCCAGTTATAAGCTGCTGAGAAGTTTCTTAGAATAACCACATATCTATAAGTTTGTTGGCCCAACCATTTGTTGCCCTTGAAGACAGTAGCAAGTATCCTGCAGATGAACCAGGCTCTTCCCACTTTCTGCTCACCAGCCAAGCTCAATGGCTGCATCCCAGCTTTGTGGCACAGTAAAAGCAGCTCTGAATCTATCTCTACTACTTATTTCAGTCTACATATGTAATGTATATTTGATAATTAAAGCAATCAGTGAGGAACACAGTACAATTCTTTTGAGATAAGGTTTCAAATAGCCCAGCTGATCTCAAACTCATTTTGTAGCCTCAAATGAGCTTGGATTTCTGATCCTCCTGAAGCCACACTTGGGTGTGCACTGCTGTGCCCACCACTGTGGTGCCAGAGATGTTAATGCACACCAGGCATGCCATCAACTGAGCCAAATCCTCAGCTTCCAGTTTGATTTACAAAGCAGCCTGTTTTAGGGACAGGGCATAGCACTTTTCTTCTCTGCAGACAGTTATTTGATTTAAATGTGACTTTACTTGTGTTCTTAATTTTATATTTTACATTTCAAGAGCCTAAAATGCTGTCTTATCAATGTCTGTAGTTGACGGTCTTCGAGTCAGCTGAGGTTTTACAGAGGATAGAAAGATATGGCTGTTCCTTACCAAATCTCAGCCAGTTCTCTGTCTGTGGCACCAGTCACTGGTCTGTTTCTTTCGCCATTCACTAAGAGGCTCTTAGGAAAGGAGGAACCACTTTCTGTCTCAGGAAAAAGTTCTGCATTGTAGGACCTGTAAGATCTAACAGGGTGTGTAGCTGTTGTTTGAAGGTCTTATAACTGTGTTGATGATTAAACATCAGAAACAATTAAAATATAAATCTTAAATACAATATAAAAGAGAAATTAAAATATAAATGTAAAATATAAATGAGAGCATGGGTGTAGAAAAAAAGGAATCAAGTCTTCCTGTAATCTCTTCCTTCCATAAACAGTCAGCATACACTAAGAATTCATGCATTATCCCCAACCAAGTTCCCCCACAGCACTTAAATGGTATCTGCATGCTGTTTCCAATTAAACTAATTTGTAATGTCTTTTTACAATTGGCGCCATTGTAATAGAGTTGCTTTAAATTATTTATATTTTTGTAGCAAAATTGCTATGGAAACAATCTCTAACAGTAACTTAAACTTCATACATTTAATTAATATTCAGAAGTCGGTTGGGAGCTTGAGGCTTTTAACTTTTATTTGCTTTAAATTATTTAAGGCTATTTGGGGTACTTAATAGCCTATTATTTTAATCGTAAGTTTCTGTTTCCTGTCATTTTTAAGGTATTCTTTACTGTATTGGAATCTCAAAAGATTACTTCTAAATTTTTTTTCTTGGTTGTTTTGCTTTTGATTCGATTTTCTGACTTAATAAAAAAAAAAAAA